GCAGTAAATGAAATTCATTTTGCGTTCGGCGCCGTGAAAACTCAAGGAAGACTACGTTCGACAGGCATTACATTCACAAACTTGACTGACGCCATGCGACGCACCTGGTCAACTACAAAAATGTCAACTTTATGGAGAAAATCAGCTAAAGCCAACATTGAAAGGCTTGCACTGCAGGCACTTTCAAATAAACCCGTCTTTTCCAGATACCTTGTCGACTTACACGGTATTTTGATCAAAGCATTTTTAAGCAGTCAATTCCGACAAACGTACGCTTTCGATTTCTAATCAACAGGCCTTTATAGTATTATAATCTCTTTCGTTAAAGTCCTCAAGGCTGTCACATCATCCGGGCCTGTGGGGGATTTCCATTTAGCGTCTTAAGAATTTTAGATAAAGAGAAGGAATTCTATCCGGTCACACCATAACACTATGAAAAGGACAGCAAGTATCAGAAAGTTCATTAAAAATTGTTGACAGGTGGATAGGGCACTATTCCGATTTCGATTATTCGATGAAAGCGGGTATAATGTGAAATATGGAAGTCTGAAGTAAGTGAACGCTCTGTGGGGATGTATTGCGAATATTGATCCTTCTTTCAGGTTTGGTTATCAGCGCACGATTAGAAATCAAATAGATTTTTAGAAGAGCATTATAACGTGGAATGATCTGACCCTGACAATGAGTTCTGTTTTTAACACAGAAATGTTTGCAGCAATTGATCAAAGTGTCATCTAGAGGGGGGCGTCAACTCGAGTATTGGAGCAGACAAGGTCATCAAGGCTTAAAAGTTTGAGGGGACTTATGATCGCGTGGTTAAAATCGCTGCATAATTGAATTAGATATTCGCAGGACAATATAGCAAGTTTTTGTGAAAGAAAGTCGAAAAAGAGGACTAGCGCACCTTCACAGGTTCGGGGGAAATATAAGTACTGTCAACTATAAGGTCTTTATCAGTATTTAATAAGTGAGCGTTGCATATAACAGCGATCACGTCTATCAAATCATCAGAATGAGAAAATAAGGACTAACAGTCCCTGCACGAACTTTGGTTAGCAAAAATAGCATCCCGTCAGGTATATTCAGGGAGATGAGTATTCTGTCGGTTACCCTGTGGAAGTTTATACAAAGAGCAGTCCTGAAACGTATAAATAGATTTCAACGAGGACTACTGCAAAAACTGCTTACTTCTCCACGTCAAATCTCAATGGGCATAGGTGTTGGAAATAGACAAACAGCCATGATCAAATTCGAATGTGGGGCCGAAACCCGTCGAATGAGCCGCAACTCGAGAGCTAGCGTCATTTCTCCGCACCGCTACAGCGTGTTCGATCATTCGCGTTTGGTGTTGTCTTCCGGTTTCTCCGACTTAGTTGCTTTGTCCACAACTGCACCAGATCCGATAAACGACTCCAGACGTTTCTTTCCGTGGCAGTGTGTCTTTCGGTTTCATTAACTGACGCCTGATGGTTGCCTCCGGTCTGTGTGCAACTCCAAAGCCAAGTGGTGTGAGAAGGCGGCCAACAGCTTCCGAAACGTTCTTGACATACGGAAGTGCCCGCAAAGATTTGGTGACGTGCGGTTAGGCCTTTCGTCCCTTTTGCGTATGCACCGGCCGACGAAGTTGCGCGGGTAGCCGTTGGTTTTGAAGACCCGTCGGAGGTATTGTAGTTCGGCAATTTTGTCTTCCGGCTCAATGCAGTGCGTTTCGACACGCCGATAGAGCGTCCTTACACAACTGCGTTTGTGGCTGATTGGGTGGTTACTGTTGAAGTTCAGTACTTGCATCGTATTTGTTGCATTCCTGAACAATTTACTCTTTAGTCCACTATAATATTTGCGGCATACGAGGACATCCAGGAAGGCCAGCTGGTTGTTTGCTTCCTCCTCCATCGTGAATTGAATGTCCGGGAAGACGGCGTTGAGATGTTCTTGGAATGTCAACACCTGATCCCGTTCGATGACGACGAAGGTATCATCCACATACCGGGCCCAGAATTTCGGTCTGTGGTGTTGGAAGACCAGCGACGCTAACCGTTGCATGACCGCCTCGGCGATGAATCCCGAAATCGGCGAACTCATTGGTGTGCCCTTCACCTGTTCATAGATTGTCCCGTCGAACGTGAAGTACGTTCTGAGACAGAGCTGAAGGATCTGGGCGTGTCCAACACGGTTATCCGTTTCATCGTATTTGCTTTGTAGTAGCAGCTCAATTGTCTCGATCGCCAGGTCCTGGGGAATAGAAGTAAAAAGGGATGTAACATCAAAAGATACCATGACCTCATTTGGATGGATGCTTACCCCTTTGAGTTTCTCCAGGAATTGTGCTGACGAAGAGACCGTGGTGTCTGATTCAGCGGTCAGGAACTTGAGACGCCGGAACAGCCCCTTAGCCAGTCCATACGTAGGAGTCCCTTTGAGCGACACGATGGATCGGAGAAGAGTGCCGTCTTTCTGCACCTTTGGGAGGCCATAGAATCGGGCCAAAACCGTATCTTAGGGTCTCGCCGTGCGTCTGACGGTCGGTGTTATTGCACCTGAGTTCTCCAAGGCCAACAACGAGCATTAATTTCGCGTGTCTGCGCCTTTAAAGGGTTCGTTGCACAGGGGACATAGAACTGTCGGTCTTTCAGTAAAGCTTTGGCTTTTTGAAGGTAGTCTTTCCAGTCCAGCACAGCCGTGGAGCACCCCTTATCCGCTGCACGATGACCAAGTCTTTGTCGGCCTTGATTTCTCTAAGCGCATCACGTTCGACCTTGGAAAGCACTTCCCGCGGCCTGTGGGCCATCAGGAGAGACGACACTTGGTGTCCGATGAGGCTCTTAGTCTCCTCCGTTGCCTCCGTCTGACAAAGGATTGATTCCACTGCTGCAATCATGTTGACAGGTTTGGCGTCAGCCGTGTTAAATGAAGCTTCGTGCCGTAAAACCTGCGTCTGATCCTTCGTCAGCTCCTTTGACGACAGGTTGTGCACCAGTTTTTCGTTTCTGGGCAGCTTTCGAAATTTGTTTGCCAATGCTGCGCCGAGTATCATGCTATGTTCGCGGAGTTGTTCGGCTATCCTCTGCAGGAGCAGATTTCTACGATCTCGCCCATGAACTCACAGTACCTGGTCTTTTCTTTGTCAATCCTTTGATGGTACTTGCGAAACCTCGTGTGGCAATCTTGGAGGAGCACTCGGATCATCCTTCTGTTATGTTGAAATACTGCTTGTCTTGCCAACTCCGTGTTAACCGGGTGCTAGTATTAAACACATTTCGGTAACACATTATTGTCGAGACACCTGCGCAGAAACCGGATCTGCGAATACGTGGAAGCCTCCCGAAGGGCGAAGGTTTCCCACGAACGGGTCGATCGGAGAGCATCGCGCCCAAATGCATTGCCAATAGAAACGAAGAGACGAGTACCAGGAAGCAGTCTTGAAGAAGAGGAAGACACGATTGCCGTCTACTATCATTAAAACCTAGCCCAAGCGCAATTCGCTGTCCATGAGCCTTGGAACAGACCGTGGAAATTGGTGATCGAGACAATGGCAGGCTTGAGCCCATTGTCTGCGTTAGGAAAATGATGAACTTCCTTAGACGCACCCACTTTCATGCAAAGAGAGGGAGTAGGTCCGCTTTTAATATCATGATAGTGGATCAAGTCATGTCTGAGGATGTGATTTTAAACAATTATACACAGAAAGTCCGTTGTGAGATTCGAGTTAATGTTGAAAATAGGTGTTCCGCCTTGCTGATTAACCCGTCTTTTCCAGATGCCTTATCGACTTACACGGCATTTCTATCAAAGCATTATTTAAACAGTCAAGTCCGACAAACTTACGCTTTCTAATCAATAGGCCTTTGGATTATTATAATGGAATGTAGAGTGGTCAAGGTTAAACAGCCAATAAAATTAAGTTTGGGGGGAGAGGGTTGATGGGATCTTAGAGGTCAGATGTGCCATTTTAGTTTTGCAATGGGCAGAGGGAGGGGATGAGGTAAGTTGTGTGGCAAGTAACTGTTCCTGCTTCCTCGCTGTAACACAACGTGTCAGAAGGTGTGATCAGACTGCCGGGTTCGACTTTGGCCAGGGAAGCCTTAGCACCTGTACAAGCGCCTGATGCGAGCGCGGGATTGGGTTGACTAACCGTACGGCCACGGCCTCTGCCGTCGCACACATCCGCTGATGCAGGAACGTGGAATGCCTGATCGGCATTTTATAGATGACTCGGAATGCTTGGTTGACATCAGCCCAGTGGCCGCTCTAAACCAAGCGACCCACATTTGCGCCTACGGTAGACCTTTTCACGCTTTGTTTTAGCCAGGCAGTATGGTGCTCTCGTATCCGTTAGGATTGGTGTCAAGTTGTGTTACCAATATTAACTGCCCCAAAAACGCAAGCAAGGGCGTACACGCACATTAAAGAGGTCTCAAAAGGCAGTCTATCCCCACCTTTATGGTCTTATGCTAGCGGTCGTATATGCGCACGCGATAACGGGGATTTTTAATTTCTGTTTGAAAGAGAGACACCAATTTGTGTGTTTCAAAGTCATGAGGCCACCCTCTGCAAATTCCACCGCAACTGCCACTCAAATGACTTTAACCTAGAATTCACTATACTGCAGCATCCAGACGCTTAAATACCACAGAGTTAGCCTTACTGCTAGAGGCATAGCATATTAAGCAGCACGCACCTCGCCCTTGTCTCCGGCAAGACATGCCTACTCATGATATATTTATACAACTTGCGATACTACGCCTGTTGCATTCAAGCATTGCCTGCACACACAATCTCTGTAAGTCATTTTTTTGTAACTAGCTGTCCCGGTATGCCGTTGATTCAATTGTTTGACTTTATTGTTTAACATAAATCCTGGCAGTTCGTACGTTATCGATGAACTATCATCAACCACCAACATTTTTGTGAATTTTGCAACCAAATATCACACGCATCATCCTAATACCCTGCCGCATATGTTGCATGTCGGATTGTATGTTATTTTACCTCCTTCAATACCGATGCTCAGACTTATTTAGAGGATGCAGATGATATGTGGTGGTTTTTTAAGGACTTTTCGACAAACTTACAAACTCTTACCATAATAAGTAGCAAAAAAACTCAACGAAATACGCAAAATCAATGAATACTGTTCATTTCATTCGAACTTTTTAGTTAGTCCGTCCTGTCCGACTTCCGAAAATGGAGTTCTTCTGCACGAATTCGTCCGGGAGCAATTTACCGCGGTCCGCTTCTTCCACGCTTACATGCGATATGGTGAAAAAGTAACAACTCGTCTGGTGATGCAAACGGCAGCCAATCCAGCGATTCACCAATGTTTGTTTGTCGGCCATGTGCGGGAAGGGAACTACCTAAGCACGACGTGCGATCTGACTTTTTCTAGTGTTAAAATCAGCATCCAGCATATGGTACGCATGCTCCATCTAAGCCCAGTTTATATGATGACGATTTATTCACTGCCATTCATACACAGACAAAAACAGCAGTGTATTGAATTAGTGGTTCTGATTGTTGTAAGTACTCTTTGAATAGGTTTCAAATTTAGCATCATAGAGCAGAGCAAAAAAGGATGAGGGAATTAAATGCACCGTCTATGGAAGTGGGTGCTTTCCTTGAGTTCAAGGAAAACTCTGACATGTTATGCTGACTCACCATCAACTACGTGCCGGTATAACCGTCGACATGTACAGAGACCACGAAATATGACAATTTATGCACAGACCCCATTGTAATGAAATTAGACTTTAATGTTTTACAAGAAAATACACACACGAATGAAGTTATGCCAGACGACGAAGATGAAATTGTTTGCATTTGTATATAATCCGAATCAGTGCGTTAGGTAATACAAGGGCAAAAGCCGGAGTCTCTTTTCTCCCTCTATTGCAGATGGACTCGGGATATGTTGATTTATACCTACCCTCAGACTCCATCAATGTGCATATGCACAATGTCGGC